CTGTTCAGCCCTGGTATTAACATCCGTCTCAGGTGATCTGATCACGAGCGGTTCGGGTGTGAATGCACCCAGGATGCAATGCGATTCCGATCACTCACGACATGTGTCCCACGCACGTCCTTTTAGCAGTGCAGCTTACTCAACTGTCGTCCTCTGCCACTGTCCAGTGTGTCACAGTTTTACAATGAACTGAAAATATTCAAGCGTTTCAAATGGCGAAAACCTTATTTCATTGCACAGCGCATTGATTTCACTCAGGGTCTGTCGCTTTAACAAGCTGTATTAAGTATGGTAGGTATGAGTAACACAACGCATGTTTCAGTTAAGCCACACTGACGCATAAGAGAAATCAAGACACTTGGCATAAGTAATTCCCCCTTGTGGAAATCATCAACTTATTACATTACAGGCCCTTTCTAAGTCAAAGGATCTTGTTTTCTTAGCTGCATTTTAGTTTCCAAAACTGTCTCTGTGGTTGTGGCATTGATTGTGCTCTGGACGATAAGGAAGATGTAAAGTTTCACAAATATTGAACTATTTTAGTACCAAATCTCTCCCACAGATAAGGACAGGGATTTCTGCACTAGGGTCAATGTCCGCTGCCTGGCAACCTTCAGGTGTCATGCGCTGGTTTCCCCACCTTTTCAGCATGAATGGCAATCAGCTGTATTGGATAAGGTAGAGTGATAAAGTATACACTGGACAGCACATGGAAAATCTGTGCTAATGTAATAAAAAGTACTACGGTATGTGAGATTTTTTTTATGTGTAAATTTGTGTCATTATTTGCCTGCTTTTAACACACACACTCACACACACTCACTCACACACACTCACACACACACTCACTCACATAGGACATGCAGCACAGACATCTTTTTTTTTCTTCTTTTCTGTGCGTGTCAGTTACATCATCAATGCTGGTCTTTCTCCAACAAAGGAAGTCCCCCCCCTCCCCCCAATGCTCTGCAATCATTTCATTTCAGCAGGTTTCTCAATGGATGGACAATTTTTTCTTTTTGTCCACATGAGCGATAAAGAGCATTTGAGTATGTGGCATTCTCCTAACAACTTTTTAAACTCAATGAAAAACAAGATGGGAACATATTACTGACCACAGCAAACTCTTCCACAGCCACAGAAAGAAAAAAAACAAAAACAAAAACAAAAACAAAAAAAAACAGCTCCACCATCTCTTATCTAAATTACCTTATAAGGGTGTCTAAGTATTATAATAGGTATCAGGTATCGTATACTGTATATAGTAAGCAGGATTATACAATAGGGGTATGTATCATCTTATAGGTGTAGTATATCGAATAAGGCGCTATATGGGAGTATATAGGCCTCTATGTATGCTTATGTTTCCAGATCTGTCCTTCTGTCCGGTGAATCAAATTACACAAAAACGCACAGCACAGGCAGTGAGCAAAGAGCTCTGCTAGTAGGTCAACATTGAGACACTGACGAGGGGAAACAGTAAACAGTATATATATACTTAAATCATCAACTATCGTTTTTTTTCTTCTTTTTTTTTTTTTTTTAATCTTCCTTTGACCAGTGCCTTAACTATCCTAAGGCCTACAAACAGAGCTCAGACAACATTAATATATAGCAGGTCTACCATACTGTGTAAAATATCTTGTACTATTGACAACCTACAGCCGGTGGTGGCTGATAATTGACGTCACCACCTGTAGGATTTAAAAACTCAAGAACCTTACAGCGACTATCAAGACGTTGGATGTTTTGTGCTCACTGCCTCCCAGACAGAGCTGTGCACTGCTGCATACACAGACGCATATTTACTGTAAATTATTATATTCATACATGGATACATATATAAAGAGAGAGTTATACATTGCAATTAACATACATATATCAATAGCATATAGAAGAGAAATAGAAATAGTCAATAGATAGCAATCATTATCGTCATCATATTCATCATAATACTAGGAGTAGTAATAATACGATCCCTCAAAGAAGCTAATACCTGGGCTGTTCCAGACAAGGGCTCATTATCAACCTCCCAAAAAACCGCTGCCGAAGTGACCAGTGAAACTGATCTGAGATCTGCATTGGGAATCTAAATTCTGATTACGTCAGTTTTCAGGAGCTGGATAATTAAGACAACTTTGGTGTTGCAACCATTTCTCTATTTTCTATTTATACAATGACCTCAATGGAGGGACTGCAGACAGAGCTGGAACATCACAAAACACATGTGGATTATTCTGTGATTTAACAACCTCCTCTATCGGGAAAATGTCTCTTCTTTCAATTCATTTTTCCTTTAACATTTTACACCCATTAACCATAATATTCTCAGAACTGCTTTAGTGTAACATCAGTGTTTTGGAAAGTGAAGCCATTCTCTGGATTAATGCACTGAGCTGAAGCCACTCTGGATAGAAAATTAGCAGCACAGGAAATTTTTCCATATTGTGCACACGCAGTATAGATGCTGTACTTGTGAAGTAAAAGAACAAAAACAAAACAAAACAAAAAAAAACAAAACAGCCCTCTCAGCTGGGTGACTCACTCCACGTCTCTGCTCTCATGTAAAGATTTAACCCTCAGTAATCCATTTCCACATATTCAGCCTGAAACTCAAATCAATCTGTGCTGCAATCCCTTCAAACAAACCCTGTCTGGAACAACCCACACAGAAGGAAGAATTACAAAATAAAAGAATCATTTTAAAAAAAAAAAAAAAAAAAAAAAAAAAAAAAAAAAAAAAAAAAATTCACTATTGTCATCTAGTTCAGCGATACATGTCATATAGCAATACCTCAATAACAAGAAGTTCTTCTATGTAATCAATACAGCTTTTCAGGTTATATATTTATTAAGCTTAACCGCTAAGTTATCAATTATTATTAGTAGTATACCATTATTTGTAAATATGCATAATATGTGTGTATATGTATTTGAATATAAACATACCTCCATTGTTTCTCCGTCCACATTAAAGGCTAGAATATGATAACAACAGATATCCTGCCTGTGTGTGTGTGTGTGTGTGTGTGTGTGTGTGTGTGTGTGTGTGTGTGTGTGCGTGCTTTTGCATGTGTGTTCGTGTCACATGTGGATGTGTTGTTTATAGGCACAATGTGTGGTGCGAATCGTTTCCCTGTCTCAAGCTAGCAGGTTTCACGTAATGAAAAGGTTTATCTCAGGGCTACCGTTAGCTATCTGGAACAAAACATCTGGGTGTGTGTGTGTGTGTGTGTGTGTGTGTGTGTGTGCGTGTATGAGGAACACAGGTTTCCATTTGAAGGCTGTGTGAGCATGGTGGGTTTCAGTGAAATAATGACCCCAGTTCAACTGAACACATGGCAACTTGCCCTTACATTCAAATTATCTTAATCTAATGACCGACTATAGAAAAATATATTCTTAATTACCTTCAATCTTTTTCTTCAATAATTTTCTCCCAGATTTTTAGTCTTTAAATAATCATTCGTCTTCTTTTTCTTCTTAAATTACTACAAAGCTATTTTTTCACAACTTAAACCTTCTGCACAGTCTCTATTTTCACTGTGCTTCAGTCCAAGTGAGGTCATCATTTCTTAATGGGCAACGGCGGTCTGAACTGATCTATGGCTGAGAGCAGCTCTAGGCAGGACTTTGCACCTGTGCTGCAGTCACTTCTGTGTAGCCCTCCTACACCAGCTTCACGTCTGTCAGCAGCTTAAAGCACATGACACTGCATAGCTACTTACTTTATCCCCATATGTTTAGATGAGATTTTTTTGTTTTGTTGCCAAATTGTCATTTTAACCCCCTTTTTATTCAATCTGAAAGGAGCTGACATTCAAGCATGCTTTGATTCACCTGGACGTTGGCTGACAGCAACTACAAGGTTAATATGTGAGGGTGTGTGTGTTGTCTGTGCTCGTCCCACGCTGCAACAGTTGTTATGAATCCACAACCAGCTATCAAAGGACCTTTTTTTCCTATCAATAAAGAGGAGGCTGGAGGAAACTGTAATGTTACACAAGTTTGTTTTCGGGGCATATAAGTAAGACTTGCATACATTCCACAACCACAGCAATGTTTTAAATGACTAATTTCCTCGTTTTAAAGGCCCATGCAGGCGTTACATTCATAGCGTTCTACCAATATGGCAGACAATATAACAAGGAAGTACAACTCCCCTTGGGAAAAAAAATGATGCGTAAAATCATTTATCTCCAAAAAGTTATTTTGATCCTCTCGCTATATTCCCATGAAGGGAGGAGAGTAGGATTTGGTTGTTACGCAGCTTTACGAGGAGTGTCCACCAAGAACCTCTTTCAGTTATGCTTCACCGTTTCTTCAGTCTCATCTGCCATCGACGGCACTGAGGGCTTGGCATTTTTGGCACTCCAAAGTTACAATTTTAACTTTTTTTTTTTTTCCTGTGTGAGCGCTGAGCTTCAATTGAGTTTCGACTTATCACCAAGCAACATTCAAGAGCTGCGACCAGCGCGCCCAACCGAGGATTAATTCAGTCCTGTGAGGATTTTAAAAAAACAAAAACAAAAGACGTGCTTGGTGGACACAGAGTTGATCCAAAGAGCACTAGGGAACACTAGCTGATTATTTTAGTCAGAGTAGAACTAGTTGTCTGTGGAAGTTCTGCGGTACAATGTGCTGAAGGGGAACCTAAAGGAGCTGTGTGTAACTGCAGCATGATATAAAACAAAACGCTAAAGCCAAGTCCTGTACTTTTTACTAACAAAGCTTTCTCTTTGCGTTAATTGGTGCCTGTAATTTGTGTATCGTACTGAGTGAATGTGTTTGTGTGTTTTTGTGTGTGTTTTTGTGTGTTTTTGTGTGTGTGTGTGTGGGGTCAACTCTAAACTGGTGTGTCCATCTGCTCTCTCGCACTGCTGGCTAGATGCTAGAGGAGGTCAGACTGGTAAGGTGACAGACTGTTCAGTTGTAGCTGGTGTGGCATGCCTGTCGGTCTCTGGCTGTAGCTCAGCTGCCTCTGGTCAACACAGCAAAACTCAGAGGTCGTCCCCGTCTGACAACCGCCGGCCTCCCTGAAACGATACACAAACACAGCTCATCTCTCACACACACACCAACAATCACGTCGACTTAAAGCAAAAGAGACAAAGTGACATGCAAAGGTTGTATGAGACTCTGTGAGCAAATGTCTTTGTTTTTTCTGTATTTCTGTGTTATTTTTAACAGTGTCAAATACAAATAGGATGAACTGTCTGACTGACAAATTACAACTTCATTTCTCTATAGTCTCCAGTGATATATTGTACAGTGCAAGCAACAAGCTAGAGCAGAATCCTGCAGTATAAATTTCAATATCAACATTTTATTCATCAGATTTTTCCTGAGGCATTAGTGGAGAAACGGTTTGTGCCATATTCAGCTGATACTCCCACTGAAACATCTGACCTGCCATGCAAGTCTTATTTACCACTCACCATGCTTTCTGTGTAATCTGCTGTTATGGTGACCTGCTTGTCCTCTGGGGGCGGGGTCACAGCAGAGCTGTCTGTGCGTCTACTCTGATTGGTGAGCTGCAGCCACAGTTCATACATCTGCTGCATGTCTCTCACTGCAGGGGGGTGAGGAGAAGAAAGAGAGAGAAAAGGAAGACAACCTCAGTAACCTTCTATACCGTGTGTTACGTGGAAGAATAATCAGTGCATGTGGAGTTGGGTAGGCACTTAAAAAAAAATCAATGTAATTTAAGGCTTTTATCAAGACGGTAATGGTGGATAAAGCGAGACACGGAAGCAGGACGTGATTGGAAATTGAAAAACAGGCCTCCATAAATAAAAGACGACTTCACAGATGTGCTATTTTTTCAGTTTTTTTTTCTAAACTGATATTAGAAATGCAAAATTACAAAAGCTGTTCCGATCAAATCAAGCTTCAAACAGCTCCCCCCCCCACACACACAGTGGTTCGAGGTGGATGCAGGAGCTTACAGCTGTTGTTCTTCATGTACGTCCAGACGTCCCTCTCTTCCAGACTGTGAGCGAACGAGCAATTCCCAATATAGTGGCACTTCTTCTGCTTCATCACATGCACGCACATCTGAGTGACAGACAGGCAAAAGGCGGGTGTTACAGAGACATACTGTTGGACAACTACTGTGGTCTCTAGAAAGAGTTGGATAAAATTAACTGGTTGTTTAACTCTTTCTAAATCACTTGAATGTGGTAATCCTTTAAAAACACTTATTTCAAACAACCAACATTCAAATAATCTGTGAGGGGGATTGAAAGCAACCAGTTAAAAACTTGTGGAAATCAACATGAAAACGCTGTCAAAGACTCGCTGGCATTACAGAGCAAGACGGCCGAGCTGCAGGGGTAGGGAGGTTTACAACAACACCTGTCCCACAGGGCAAGAACAGAGTCAGCTGCACTCAGCATGTGAGAGGGGTGGAGGGGCGGAGGGAGCGAAGAGGAAAGACTGCGTAACAACTGAAGGAAAAATACAAAAAAAAATGGAGGAACTCACATCATATTGCTGTGGGTAGGTGCGGGAGAAAGGCAGAGGCCGAACAACAACCCACTTCTTCTTCTCAAATGATTTCACCAGCAGAACCCGACGCTCCTTCGTCCAGCTAAAGAGACAGAGAGCTAATGTTAATTCAAACAGGAGAGTCAGGAGTTTCATTTAGTTCTTTGGTATACACTTTTGATGCTACTATAACATCATGACGACAGAAGAGGACTCCATCCCCAGTCCAAATGACTTCTAATATGCAATTTACATACACAGCCTTTAGCCAGTGTTATAATTTCTGCATCTGTGAGTAAACCAGGGTCCGTGTGACCTACATTTTGTCATCAGAGGATGCATGTGAGGCTGTGTGTGGATGTCTGCTGACTCTCCAATTTGTCTGACACTACTACAAGGGCACCAACTGCACATGCGCTCCTCCAAGCGAACGAGACGCAAGTATAATGAGAACAACAACGTGTCCGTGTTGTCCACAGCCGTCTGTGTGCGAGTCCACAAGGAAGTATAATTGAGTCCACAAAGATCAGATTTGAAAATAAAAATCTCATTGGTTTTCTTTATGAATAAAGACAAAGTCAATATTTGGGCTCTGTAACTTCACACTGTGTTGTATCGTTTTGACTCGGTGCAGGTGGGCGTGGAAAGACAGGCCTCACCTGTGCCGTGCTTTGGCTGTGCAGTACTTGAGGTTCTTGTCGGGCTCGTTGACCTGTCCTTCTCTCCAGCACTGGCCGCACACAAATTTCATCTTCAGGTTGAGGGGTCGTCCCCGTCCCGCTACTGCTCCCAGACCGCCCACCCCAACGCCTCCCACTGGGCTCACACCGCCTCCACCTAGGCCGTCTCCCCCCATTCCTCCGCCCCCACCCACCATTCCCCCTACTCCTCCTGCAGGTACGCTGCTGCTCGGATGTGGGATATGGATAGGCTGAAAGACACAGACATGGACGTGAGAAGTTATCATTCATAACGGAAACAATCGTCAGTCATTTTTGCCACAGACAACATTTTAGCTCATTTTACTCATGAATAATTGCATTTTCATTAAAGCTGGATACACAATCATGGCCTGAAGAGACATGGAAGAAGAAGTTTGTGAGAGCAACATCACAATGAGAGTACATTTGCAAGTCTTAAACTGACAACACAAACTGTCTCAATGCCCTGTCCTGTCTTACCTTCTGCTGCTTCTGTGCGTTCTGCTCCAGCCGTTGCCAATGTCTCTTGGACTCCTGCACCATCTCCTCATGGGTGATACCTGAAGAAAACATTAAGGAGCAGTGCTATGAAAAAAAACAAAAAACCAATGACTTAATCACTTACACGATACTGTATCAATAGTCAGCTGTTGGTGTTAACTGCTGTCTTGTTACAACGATACCTTTTCCATATCGACATCTTAGACTTTATTTCAAATTGTCAATACGGCAAACTTCTATTATTAATCAGAGAACGTAACAATGTTTTGTGGATTACATTTTATTACAGCTAAAAGCTATGTATGTGTGTGTGTGTGTGTGTGTGTGTGTGTGTGTGTGTGTGTGTGTGTGTGTGTGTGTGTGTGTGTGTGTTCTACCCACCAGTATCCTGCTGTAGGACCCAGCATTTGAGCTCTATGACGGAGTGCGCAAAAGAGCAGCTGTCCTCTCGCTGGCAGCCGTAGCGAACCTCATGGCGACATACGTCGAACTGGCAGAGGGGGTGCAGGGGACGCACCTTACTGTAGCGCACATTGGCTGACCTCACCACATGCACCAGGCACCTGCAGCAGGTACAGGTAATGTCATCATACATTTTCATATAGGCAGCAGATTTATTTTTATTTTACAGGACAATAATGCAATCATAGGACTTTGTATTTAAACAAAAATCAAGATATGAAAAACACTATACACTCACTTGTTATCGTCGAACGGGTGTCGAGCTGTGAGGTTTGAGCAGACTGCTAAGTTTTCTTTGCTGCGTTTGCTAATAATGCGAGGCTTACTGTCAAAACATTCCTGCAGGAAGAGGAAGGAGATGCAGGTAACTGTCAGTCAAAGGTGACCAATCAAAAGACATCATAAAGAAGAGATTGAGTGCCTAGAAACACGTTGGTCTTACCTCACAGAGGAACATGAACATGCCCATGTGGAGCTGCAGCAGTCTGGTGACGCTGAGCGCCCGTCGCTCTGTGCTGCCCAGCGGATCAAACAGCAGCTCTCGGCTCAGTGCACCCTTCCTCTCTTGCGTCCACACGTCAATCTCCTCCTGGCAGTAGGCGAACGTACAGTTCTCCCCGTACTGACACTCCTGACGCTCCTGCACCTCTGTGGGAGGATGGAGGGAGAGTGAGTATGTAAAAGGGAAATTTAAACACAAGTCAACTGCACCTGGCTGCTCTTTCTCAACTTGAATTTCCCACCTAGATCATCCACTTGGGAGTTTAATTCACAGTGCAAACAAACCTTTACAGAGTACAAATGCCCCCAGGAAGTTGTTCCGAGCAGGCCGGGGCCGGATCCTCTTCCAGGTGGGGTCATCTGTGTTTTTGAGGCGACATAGCAGAACATCTCGTTTGCAGCGGTGTGCTGCCTCTGGCTGATACTTGTAGTCCATCACATGTGGACCTGTGAGTGAGAGGAGGACAGAGAGAGTTAAGTTACAGTGCCATCACAATTCGTATTTGTAACTGATTTTAATGATAAAGCATTGCTTAAAAACAATGCTTGAACACTTCACATATGAAACAGCGTGCCCGGTTTATGAGCTGGTGGAGAAAGCAACACTGCAGCATCCAATTATGAATATTTAAAAAAAGAAGGGAAAAGAGCAGCTAGTCAAAGGCTGGTAAGAGAAAGTGTTGGACCAACCTATTCGGCTGTAACAGGCATGACAGGCCTGCCGAAACTCATGCGTGGCCGCCAGAGGATTCCTGGAGAGCAGAGACAGGTTTGTTCCTGCTGGACCATTCTGAGAAAGAAGAGGAGGGAAAGGAGATGAGATATAAAACAAAAAGAGATGCTTAGCACCATAACTGCATAGTCAGAAATGTCTGCATTGCAAGAGATGAAGACGACAATGAAGAATTAAATACAGTGTTTGTGTTACTTACTGCATGTGCAGCGCTGTTGTTGCGCATTCCCGGGATGAAGCTGGGACACACTCGTCCCCCTGAAGACCACAGACACAAGGACACTGATGTCAGACACCATATTGAAATGATGCTGACTCACACCGTCTGCTGCTGACGCACAGCTCAGGTTAAAACTCCCTAGAAACTGTGCTCTGGTAACTGAACAAGAGCAAGTTAAGCAGCTTGTACTGATCATGCTCCCTCTGTATCACTCTATTCCTTCAACATTATTTTACAGGCTTAATTCATCCTGGCATGCAAATTAAAAGAAAACACAAAATTCAGTCATTCCTGTTGCAGCCATTTCTGAGTAGCACAGCTAAAAGTTCACACTAGTTAGAATAAAATATTTTGTTTGTTTGTTAGTATTTCTGATATGGAGCTAAAAAATTTGTCTGGACTGAGATCGCCATTTTAAAATGACAATATATTAGCGTGGACATAGCCTAAGCCTGATAACACACTAACAATTACAATCTCTCATGTCTCTATAAAACACATCCATTAAACATTCGCAGCGCTGGTGAAAAAAGTAAGTGAACCCTTGGATTTAACAGCTGGTAAACCTTCCACTTGCTGTGGATCAGACCTGTACAATGTTCAGGAGGAATTGCTCTTTACAGAACTGCTTCAGCTCAGACATATTCTGATGATGTCTGGTGTGAGTGGCTTTTTTCAGCTCATTTTCTACTGGATTAACATCTGGGCTCTGACTGGCCCACTCCAAAAGGGGGATTTTCATAGTTTGAAGTTTGAAGCACCCTCCACTACATTTCAGTGTTGGGATGTTGTTTTCATGTTGTTGTGCAGATACGGTTCACATCAGCAGATGCTTCTAGTGAAAAGAAAACTTAAAAATGTCAAATATGTCAAAGATGCTCTAACACACACCTGCAATCTCATGTCCTTAACTGGACTCCAGGTTTTTAAATTTGCTTTTGTTGATGTCATTGCCTTCATATACTTTTTCCCCATCCTCCACTGTGAATGTTTAAATGATGTATTCAATATGGAGAAGAAAAACAAAGCGATTTGTGTTTTATCAGCTAAAATAGTGTTTGTTCATAATTGTAACTTCGATGAAGATCCGACTATATTTTTACGACAAATTCAAACACAAATGCAGGTAATTCCAAAGGGTTCACTTACTGTTTCTTGCTACTGTACATGTGACTCATCAGCATAAGTGGAGCGGCAAAAATTAAAGGAGCATTCACTAAGAATAAATTTTTCTCTTGGACACAAATTGTCACAGAGAGGTCAACTACAGAAAACATGACATGCAATGTGTCATTTACAAACATCATTACAAGATTTCTAGTGAGTGAAGTTTAAAAATGTCCATATTATCTCTCTCTGCCATTTGAATCTACTGACATGCCGAAATAACTTAGTGCAATGTTACAAATCAATGATAATTTTCCACTCAATCAGATAAAAACACATGATATGACGCCTTTTAGCTCACCTGGGAGAGTGTACTCAGACAACGAGTCCAGCCCACCAGCGGCGACTCCTGCTTTCCCTTCTCCATCCGTAGCCCCTGTGGCGAAGCTTCCCAGTGCGTCCTGCGCCTGGGTGGAGCCTTGGTCCCGCTGGGCCAGCGGCGAGTAAGACTCCAGAGGGGACATGTCACTCATGGGGGAGCTGAAGAAGGCTGGGGGAAGCTTGGGTGATGGGGCTGGAAGGTTGGGGGAGTATGGAGGCCGGAGAGCAACCGCAGTGTTGGGAAGGTTGGTGGGTATAGCACCCTGGACTGGACTCTGAAGCATGACACCGACAGAAATTTCATTGAGTTTAAATAACTAAAACCAACTTTGCTACTGAAGTAATAATGAAAATAAAAACAATAATTGCCCATTAAGGGTGTGTGGCTAATTCATTTATTTTTGTCTGTCTCTGTCCTTCACTCGCCTCACTGACTTTCTTGGGGATGCATTCCAGCAGACTGTCTAGCTCATCCTTGATGACGCTGCATTCGTCCATGTGCTCAGACACCGGGACAGAGTACGGCATTGGAGGCAGGGCTTGGCTGCTGGGGCTCTCTGACAAATCGGTGCACGGGGGTGCCGGTTCATCACTGACTGGGATGGGCGTGGCCAAAGGAGCTGGGATGCACTGTGCACTTGATATGTCCGCTGACGAGGAGGAAAACAGCAATGCAGAGGAGGGGATGAATGTGGGAACAGAGAAGCGAGGCTGTGTGGGATCAGACATGTTCAAGGTTTGCCAGTTTGCCATACCTGGTCCAATGTCACCCAGAGATTCCAGCCCGTTGGAGGACATCTGAGGAGGAAGCGAGAGAATATAACCCCATTAGCCTCTCACTCAGTCACCACATCGAAAGCTCTACACTGTGACAACAGCACCCACCTCTCCTGTGGGTGGGGAAGTCTCCCCATGACTCTCCCCTTCATTGGCTGTGGACTCTGTCTGAGGGCTGACGTAAGCTTTACGGCCCTTCAGGCCCAGTTTATTGGCTAGATCCTGGGCCAGGTCACTCACCTGTCGGTCCTGCAAGATCAATTACAACAAGAAGAGCTAATACGTACTGAGGATGAGTTTAATTAATTTTCAGGTAAATTATAATATGAAGCACAGTGTAGTCCATGAAGTCATTTCTATTGCAAATGTATGCATTAAATAAAATGCTTGCTATCTCCACTTACTAATTTCCTGGGGGAAACACTGAAAGGAAATGTTCAATTTCAAACTTGATGATTTGGACAAGAGTCATTTGTGTCAATATTTTCAGTGCTGATGACATACGTGTGGTGCTGTGAGGAGACATTTGGTTCCACACTCATACGCGTCTCTGAGTCGTCCCAACTCCCTCAGACAAAGTGCTTTCCGGTACAAAGCCCTGCGGCTGCCTTCTGACACATACAGTGCACTGTCACAGTCCTGAACACCTCGATCATACTCCCTCTAAAACAAGAAAGAAAGACACTGAGTGTCATTTAACACAGAACAACAAGAGTTACGCTGACACTGTAAAAACACTGTCAAAGTAAAATCCCCTAATGTAGAAAACAAATCTGTGATACTGAGCGGCCACGTCATGTCAGATCTTTCCTGCTGGCGAACATGCTATATGTTACTTAGAAAAACACCAACACAGAACTGTCAAACTGGCAGGCATCTTGATCTATCGACCACAAATGACACCATATTGTGTCTTTTAACACCTGCCACCAACCCCACTGCTTGCTGTCACAAAAAAGATTTGGCTCCCTACTCTCACTCAGACAAACAGAAAAATAATCAGATTACCACAGTGCGTACAAACAAAACATTAATAAAAGCTTGTAAACTGTGGTGATGTAGAACTGAAACTCTGCAGCTAAATTAACTGTAAATGCAATAGATAATCTTGAAGTCACGTTCACATTTGAGTCATTTCAGTAACAAAGATTTGGCAGATTCACCCAAAATCTACTTTGGTGGCACAAATATCTAATAATTACTCAGTCAATATGTTTGTTGTCTGAGACCAACAGTTCAAAACCTTTACTGGTTTGACAGTAACTGACTAATGAAAAGTCGTCTAAACATCCATCCCCTACACTTTTCTACTAATCCATATAAACATCTTGTCATTTATATCTGCAGGTGACACATCCCCACCATTCCCCTTCTCCCTCACCATCTGGTAGAAGGCAGCAGCCCTGTTGACATAGAGGCTCTCCAGCAGCTCATGAGGAATGACAAGAGCCTCAGCCTGGGCGTAGCGGGCAACACTTATTCCCTCCCCATACTGCTGGGTCGCCTGGCGCCAATCCCCATCTCGAAAGCAAGAATTGCCCTCATCCAGCAAGTTACACACCAACTGGGTCAGAAATGTCTAAAGGGAATGTGCAAAAGGATTATAAAGAGAGACAAAATATTGAAAAATGGGGTAGGGGTAATATGAGATGGTCAGAATTTGGCAGAAAGAGAAGATAAAGAAGGGAACAAGTAAAGCAAGAGAGGAAGATTGAGGACAAGATAAAATGAGTTCAAATTTAGGTCCAGGAAATAATAGAGCAAAATGAGTATGGTCATGGTGGAGTCAGAGTAAATTTTGCGGGAGCACATTGGTGATAGCAAAAAAGCAGGGATAAAGGGGGTAAACGCAAACCTCATAACTCTCTGGCTCTGGAAAAGGCAATGATGACCTGTGGACAGAAATATAAGAAGGCTGTCAGCTTTCTCCATTTCCAAGTGGTCACTAAAAGTCACTAGTAGTCGTTCACTTACTGGATAAAACTCATTGCTTTCTGAATCTCCTCTCTTCTTTTCAGTCGTTCAGGATCCATATCCTGAGGGTGAGGACAAGGTTGACTTGTAACAGTTTAAAACTCCACTTCTTGCACAGCATTATTAACAGCTTTGACAGCTACAATCAAACCAACCACACATAACTTTGGTATCTTAGAGGACGCGGTTATGATCTGCAGTTATTAAAAACGTTTTCAAACAGCTCCAAATACCTGTAGTCGTCCTGGACAAGTCAAGGCCTGCCACCAAAACATGCTAAGCAATCATCGGACTTGCGTAAACAAACAGCGGGTACAGCTAACGGTGAAGCCGGCTACTGATTAGTGTTAGCTACGGTGTCATTTTGTTCGTCCGAGGATATATTTGACGTAAAATCGTTGATTTTTGAGGGAAGGGAAATGTTACATACTCAATTTGACCGTTAGCCATAACACTTTTGGGGAAATGATTAGCTAACGTTAGCGTGACATGCAGACATACAGCTCGTTCACTCAAACTAAACCTCACACCGATAGCGATGCATGTAAAATAGACAACTTGCATTGAGTTAGCTGCTAATGGCGTTAGTGTAGTCAATATTAACGGTACCTGAGTTTACCTACCGGTGGTTGGGTCAATCAGCTAACGCTACCTGCTCACTCAGGCTACATGCTAATCACCATAAAATAGCTTGACTGGAGAAATGAAGAAAGCTAACTTAGCGTTTAAAATGTTTGATTCTTTTCGTTGCATGCGTTGTATCATCTCATATATACTTCACAATGAATTACTGTTCAACTGACAGATATGGCTACACTGCATACAAACCCAGTGTTAACCAGCTACCTGGTAAGTTAGCTAACTTAATTTACTAGTGGAGTCCCAGCTAATAGCCAAAGCCCCCACTCAACACGGCAACTCACCGAGAGTTAGGTTACTGAGCCTTTCAGATCAGAGATAGCTTCACAGAGCGTTGGCGATAAAGATAGGAAAAACTAGCCAGCCAAATATCAGTCAATATCCAGGCGCATATTTGTAAGTTTAGTGTCCCTGTCATTGGTATGTGGACGGAGCACGAGTTTCTCTGCGCTACCACTGCTACTGGATACTGGCTAACGTTAGCTAGCTAATTGCTAGCTGTTTTGGCCAGTCCCGTACCGCAACAAGTTTCCAGGAGAATGGTCACAAGAGGGCGGCAGACACTGTTTATGTTAGGTTATCGTTTTTTTACCTGTGCAGGAAAAGTATACACATTTTGTACATATGTAAAAGTTGCACGACTATGGAAGCGTAATGCATTCACTTAAGAAAAAAAAATCTGCTCTTTTTAAAAAAAATAAATAAATAAAAACTCTCTCTGACGAGATAATTATGTCGATTCAGAAAAACAGGATTTTTGAAAAACTTTTCTCTAAAAAATAGATAAATAAAAGAAAAGTCCTCCTTCCGAATTATCGACATAATCATCTCCTTAATTCAGAAAAACTTTTTTTTTACTTCTCTCTAAAAAGAATAAAATAAAATAAATCCTGTTTTTCCGAATTAAGGAGATAATTATGTCCTTAATTCAGAAAAACAGAGCAGGCTGAAGAGACATGGAAGAAAGAAGTTTGTGAGAGCAACATCACAATGAGAGTACATTTGCAAAGTCTTAAAACTGACAACACAAACTGGTCTCAATGCCTCTGTCCTGTCTACCTTCTGCTGCTTCTGTGCGTTCTGCTCCAGCCGTTGCCCAATGTCTCTTGGGATCCTGCCCAGTCTCCTCCATGGGTGAATACCTGAAAAAACAATTAAGAGCAGTGCGTAGAAAAAAAAACAAAACCCGAATGACTTAATCACCTTACACGATACTGTTCAATGAGTCAGCTCTTTCGTGATTTACTGCTGTCTTGTTACAAAGACGATGACCTTTTCGCATGATCGACATCTTAGACTTTATTTAAACTTGTCAACTACGCGCAAACTTCTATTATAATCAGAGGAACGGTAGACAATTGTTTTGGTTACATTTTTTACAGCTAAAAGCTATGTATGTGTGTGATGTGTGTGTGTGTGTGTTGTGTGTGTGTGTGTGTGGTGTGTGGTGTGTGTGTGTGTGGTGAGTGGGTGTGTGTGGTGTTGTGTCTACCCACCAGTAGTCCTGCTGTGGAACCCAGCATTTGAGCTCTATTGACGGAGTGCGCTCCAAAAGAGCAGCTGTCCTCTCGCTGGCAAGCCAGTAGCGACCTATGGCGACACTACGTCGAACTGCGCAGGAGGGGGTGCAGGGGACGCACCTTACGGTAGCGCACATTGGGCTGACCTCACACATGCACCAGGCACCTGCACAGGTACAGGTAATGTCTCATACATTTTTCATAAGGCAGCAGAGTTATTGTTATTGTAGCGAGGAACAATAAGCAATCGATAGGACTTTGTATTTAAAAAAAATCAAGATATGGAAGAACACTATACACTCCACTTGTTAGTCGTCGAACGGGTGTCGAGCTGTGAGGTGGAAGCAACTGCTTAAGTTTTTTTTTTCTTTGCTGCGTTTTGCTAAAATGCGAGGCTTACTGTCAAAACATTCCTGCAGGAAGAGGTAAGACGGCATAACTCATCAAAACAGTACCAATCAAAGACATCATAAAGAAGAGATTGAGATGCCTAGAACAGCGTGTTGTCTTACCTCAAACAGTAGGAACATGAACATGCCCATGTGGAGCTGCAGCAGTCTGGTGACGCTGAGCCGCCCGTCGCTCTGTGCTTGCGTGCAGCCGAATCAAACAGCAGGCCTCTCGGCTCAGTGCACCTTCCTCTCTATTGCGTCCACACGTCATATCTCCTCCTGGCAGTAGGCGAACGTACAGTTCTCCCCGTACTGACACTCCTGACGCTCCTGCACCTCTGTGGGAGGATGGAGGAGAGGTGAGTATGTAAAAGGGAAATTTAAACACAAGTCAACTGCACCTGGCCTGCTCTTTCTCAACTTGAATTTCCCACCTAGATCATCCACTTGGGATTTAATTCACAGTGCAAACAAACCTTTACAGAGTACAATGCCCCAGGAAGTTGTTCGAGCAGGCCGGGCCGGATCCTCTTCCAGGTGGGGTCATCTGTGTTTTGAGTGAGCGACAATAGCAGAACATCTCGTTTGCAGCGGTGTGCTGCCTCTGGCTGATACTTGTAGTCCATCACATGTGGACCTGTAGAGTGAGAGGAGGACAGAGAGAGTTAAGTTCACAGTGCACTCATCACAATTCGTATTTGTAACTGATTTTAATGATAAAGCATTGCTTAAAAACAATGCTTGAACACTTCAACATATGAAACAGCGTGCCCGTTTATGAGCTGGTGGAGAAAGCAACACTGCGCAAGCATCCAATTATGAATATTTAAAAAAAAGAGGAAAAAGGCAGCTAGTCCAAAGGGCTGGTAAGAGAAAGTGTTGGAACCAACCTATTCGGGCTGTAACAGGCATGACAGGCCTGCCGAAACTCATGCGTGGCCGCCAGAGGATTCCTGGAGAGCAGAGACAGGTTGTTCCTGCTGGACCATTCTGAGAAAGAAAGGAGGGAAAGGAGATGAGATATAAAACCAAAAAGAGGATGCTTAGCACCATAACTGCATAGTCAGAAATTGTCTGCATTGCAAGGAGATGAAGACGACAATGAAGAATTAAATTACAGTGTTTGGTGTTACTTACTGCATGTGCAGCTGCTGTTGTTGCGCATTCCCGGGATGAAGCTGGGACACACTCGTCCCCTGAAGACCACAGACACAAGGACACTGATGTCAGACACCATATTGAAATGATGCTGACTCACACCGTCTGCTGCTGACGCACAGCTCAGGTTAAACTCCCTAGAAACTGTGTGCTCTGCTGTAACTGAACAAGAGCAAGTTAAGACAGCTTGTACTGATCATGCTCCCTCTGTATCACTCTATTCCTTCAACATTATTTTACAGGCTTAATTCATCTGGCATGCAAATTAAAAGAAAACACAAAATTCAGTTCTTCCTGTTGCAGCCATTTCTGAGTAGCACAGCTAAAAGTTTACACTAGTTAAGAATAAAATATTTTTGTTTGTTTGTTAGTATTTCTGATATGGAGCTAAAAATTTGTCTGGACTGAAGATCGCCATTTTAAAATGACAATATATTAGCGTGGACATAGCCTAAGCCTGATAACAACACTAACAATTACAATCTCTCATGTCTCTATAAAAACACATCATCATTAAACATTCGCAGCGCTGGTGAAAAAAGTAAGTGAACCCTTGGATTTAACAGCTGGTAAAACCTTCCACTTGCTGTGGATCAACCTGTACAATGGTTTCAGGAGGAATTGCTCTTTACAGAACCTGCTTCAGCTCAGACATATTCTGATGATGTCTGGTGTGAGTGGCTTTTTTTCAGCTCATTTTCTACTGGATTAACATCTGGGCTCTGACTGGCCCACTCCAAAAGGGGGATTTTCATAGTTTGAAGTTTTTGAAGCACCCTCCACTACATTTTCAGTGTTGGGATGTTGTTTTCATGTTGTTGTGCAGATACGGTTCACATTCAGCAGATGCTTCTAGTGAAAAGAAAAACTTAAAAATGTTCAAATATGTCAAAGATGCTCTAACACACACCTGCAATCTCATGTCCTTAAGCTGGACTCCAGTTTTTAAATTTTGCTTTTGTTGATGTTCATTGCCTTCATTACTTTTTCCCCATCCTCCACTGTGAATGTTTAAATGATGTATTCAATATGGAGAAGAAAACAAAGCGATTTGTGTTTTATCAGCTAAAATAGTGTTTGTTCATAATTGTAACTTCGATGAAGATCCGACTTATATTTTTACGACAAATTCAAACACAAAATGCAGGTAATTCCAAAGGGTTCACTTACTGTTTCTTGCTACTGTACATGTGACTCATCAGCATAAGTGGAGCGGCAAAAATTTAAAGGAGCATTCACTAAGAATAAATTTTTCTCTTGGACACAAATTGTCACAGAGAGGTCAACTACAGAAAACATGACATGCAATGTGTCATTTACAAACATCATTACAAGATTTCTAGTGAGTGAAGTTTAAAAATGTCCATATTATTCTCTCTGCCATTTTGAATCTACTGACATGCCGAAATAATCTTAGTGCAATGTTACAAATCAATGATAATTTTCCACTCAATCAGATAAAAACACATGATATGACGCCTTTAGCTCACCTGGGAGAGTGTACTCCAGACAACGAGTCCAGCCCACCAGCGGCGACTCCTGTCTTTCCCTTCTCCATCCGTAAGCCCCTGTGGCGAAGCTTCCCAGTGGCGTCCTGCCGCCTGGGTGGAGGCCTTGGTCCCGCTGGGCCAGCGGGCGAGTAAGACTCCAGAGGGGACATGTCACTCATTGGGGAGCTGAAGAAGGCTGTGGGAAAGCTTGGGTGATGGGGCTGGAAGGTTGGGGGAGTATGGAGGCCGGAGGAGCAACCGCAGTGTTGGGAAGGTTGGTGGGTATAGCACCCCGGACTGGACTCTGAAGCATGACACCGACAGAAATTTCATTGAGTTTAAATAACTAAAACCAACTTTGCTACTGAAGTAATAATGAAATAAAAACAATAATTGCCCATTAAGGGTGTGTGGCTAATTCATTTATTTTTGTCTGTCTCTGTCCTTCACTCGCCTCACTACTTTTCTTGGGGATGCATTCCAGCAGACTGTCTAGCTCATCCTTGATGACGACGCTGCATTCGTCCATGTGCTCAGACACCGGGACAGAGTACGGCATTGGAGGCAGGGCTTGGCTGCTGGGGCCTCTCACAAATCGGTGCACGGGGTGCCGCGTTCATCACTGACTGGGATGGCGTGGCCAAAAGGAGCTGGGATGCACTGTGCATCTTGATATGTCCCCTGACGAGGAGGAAAACAGCAATGCAGGAGGGATGAATTGGGAACAGAGAAGCGAGGCTGTGTGGGATCAGACATGTTCAAGGTTTGCCAGTTTGCCATACCTGGTCCAATGTCACCCAGAGATTCCAGCCCGTTGGAGGGACATCTGAGGAGGAAGCGAGAGAATATAACCCCATTAGCCTCTCACTCAGTACCCACATCGAAAGCTCTACACTGTGACAACAGCACCCACCTCTCCTGTGGGTGGGGAAGTCTCCCCATGACTCTCCCCTTCATTGGCTGTGGACTCTGTCTGAGGGCTGACGTAAGCTTTACGGCCCTTCAGGCCCAGTTTATTGGCTAGATCCTGGGCCAGGTCACTCACTCTGTCGGTCCTGCAAAGATCAATTACAACAAGAAGAGCTAAATACGTACTGAGGATGAGTTTAATTAATTTTCAGGGTAAATTATAATATGAAGCACAGTGTAGTCCATGAAGTCATTTCTATTGCAAATGTATGCATTAAATAAAATGCTTGCTATCTCCACTTACTAATTTCCTGGGGAAACACTGAAAGGAAATGTTCAATTTCAAACTTGATGATTTGGACACGAGTCATTTGTGTCAATATTTCAGTGCTGATGACATACGTGTGGTGCTGTGAGGAGACATTTGGTTCCCACACTCATACGCGTCTCTGAGTCGTCCCAACTCCTCAGACAAAGTGCTTTTCCGGTACAAAGCCCTGCGGCTGCCTTCTGACACATACAGTGCACTGTCACAGTCCTGAACACCTCGTCATACTCCCTCTAAAACAGAAAGAAAGACACTGAGTGTCATTTAACACAGAACAACAAGAGTTACGCTGACACTGTAAAAACACTGTCAAAGTAAAATCCCCTAATGTAGAAAACAAATCTTGTGATACTGAGCGGCCACGTCATGTCAGATCTTCTGCTGGCGAACATGCTATATGTTATACTTAGAAAACACCAAAACAGAACTGTCAAACTGGCAGGCATCTTGATCTATCGACCACAAAATGACACATATTGTGTCTTTTAACACCTGCCACCAACCCACTGCTTGCTGTCACAAAAAAGATTTGGCTCCCTACTCTCACTCAGACAAACAGAAAAATAATCAGATTACCACAGTGCGTCACAACAAAACATTAATAAAAGCTTGTAAACTGTGGTGATGTAGAACTGAAACTCTGCAGCTAAATTAACTGTAAAGCAATAGATAATCTTGAAGTCACGTTCACATTTGAGTCATTTCAGTAACAAAGATTTGGCAGATTCACCCAAAATCTACTTTGGTGGCACAAATATCTAATAATTACTCAGTCAATATGTTTGTTGTCTGAGACAACAGTTCAAAACCTTAACTGGTTTGACAGTAACTGACTAATGAAAAAGTCGTCTAAACATCCATCCCCTACACTTTTCACTAATCCATATAACATCTTGTCATTTATATCTGCAGGTGACACATCCCCACCATTCCCCTTCTCCCTCACCATCTGGTAGAAGGCAGCAGCCCTGTTGACATAGAGGCTCTCCAGCAGCTCATGAGGAATGACAAGAGCCTCAGCCTGGGCGTAGCGGGCAACACTTATTCCCTCCCCATACTGCTGGGTCGCCTGGCGCCAATCCCCATCTCGAAAAGCAAGAATTGCCCTCATCCAGCAAGTTACACACCAAACTGGGTCAGAAATGTCTAAAGGGAATGTGCAAAAGGATTATAAAAGAGAGACAAAATATTGAAAAATGGGTAGGGGTAATATGAGATGGTCAGAATTTGGCAGAAAGGAAGATAAAGAAGGGAACAAGTAAAGCAAGAGAGGAAGATTGAGGACAAGATAAAATGAGTTCAAATTTAGGTCCAGGAAATAATAGAGCAAAAATGAGTATGGTCATGGTGGAGTCAGAGTAAATTTTGCGGGAGCACATTGGTGATAGCAAAAAAGCAGGGATAAAGGGGGTAAACGCAAACCTCATAACTCTCTGGCTCTGGAAAAGGCAATGATGACCTGTGGACAGAAATATAAAGAAGGCTGTCAGCTTTCTCCATTTCCAAGTGGTCACTAAAAGTCACTAGTAGTCGTTCACTTACTGGATAAAACTCATTGCTTTCTGAATCTCCTCTCTTTTTTCAGTCGTTCAGGATCCATATCCTGAGGGTGAGGACAAGGTTGACTTGTAACAGTTATAAAACTCCACTTCTTGCACAGCATTATTAAACAGCTTTGACAGCTACAAATCAACCAACCACACATAACTTTGGTATCTTAGAGGACGCGGTTATGATCTGCAGTTATTAAAAAACGTTTTCAAACAGCTCCAAATACCTGTAGTCGTCCCTGGACAAGTCAAGGCCTGCCACCAAAACATGCTAAGCAATCATCGACTTGCGTAAACAAACAGCGGGTACAGCTAACGGTGAAGCCGGCTACTGATTAGTGTTTAGCTACGGTGTCATTTTTGTTCGTCCGAGATATATTTGACGTAAAATCATTGATTTTTGGAGGGGAAGGAAATGTTACATACTCAATTTGACCGTTAGCATAACACTTTTGGGAAATGATTAGCTAACGTTAGCGTGACATGCAGACATAACAGCTCGTTCACTCAAACTAAACCTCACACGATACGATAGCGATGCATTAAAATAGACAACTTGCATTGAGTTAGCTGCTAATGGCGTTAGTGTAGTCAATATTAACGGTAGCCTGAGTTTACCTACCGGTGGTTGGGTCAATCAGCTAACGCTACCTGCTCACTCAGGCTACATGCTATCACCATAAAAATAGCTTGACTGGAGAAAATGAAGAAAGCTAACTTAGCGTTTAAAATGTTTGATTCTTTTCGTTGCATGCGTTGTATCATCTCATATATACTTCACAATGAATTACTGTTCAACTGACAGATATGGCTACACTGCATACAAACCAGTGTTAACCAGCTACCTGGTAAGTTAGCTAACTTAATTTACTAGTGGAGTCCCGCTAATAGCCAAAGCCCCCACTCAACACGGCAACTCACGCGAGAGTTAGGTTACTGAGCCTTTCAGATCAGAGATAGCTTCACAGAGCGTTGGCGATAAAAGATAGGAAAAACTAGCCAGCCAAATATCAGTCAATATCCAGGCGCATATTTGTAAGTTTAGTGTCCCTGTCATTGGTATGTGGACGGAGCACGAGTTTCTCTGCGCTACCACTGCTACTGGATACTGGCTAACGTTAGCTAGCTAATTGCTAGCTTGTTTGGCCAGTTCCCGTACCGCAACAAGTTTCCAGGAGAATGGTCACAAGAGGGCGGCAGACACTGTTTATGTTAGGTTATCGTTTTTTTACCTGTGCAGGAAAGTATACACATTTTGTAACATATGTAAAAAGTTGCACGACTATGGAAGCGTAATGCATTCACTTTAAGAAAAAAAAATCTGCTCTTTTTTAATAAAAAATA